ATGCCTTCAAGCGGATCTGGATAGACACTGATCAAAGATGCTTTAATATGAATGGTGGGGGATAGAGAGGATTGGACAGATTAGTGGCTTAAAATGCCCTCTTCTAACTCTATTTTTTTTTTAAAGCAAGTTATGGGCCTTGATGAAATGTCAGGTGACATCTCTCAAAACTTCCTAAAGAAAAGTTTTTCACACAGAAGATGCTGACCTGGTTTTAGTGCAAAGTGAGCCCATTCGTCATAATTAGTGCTCTGGGTTTGGGGCCCTCTGGTTCAGGGACTGTGCCATCTTTGGTCCTGGATGGGGTTGTGCTGCCCAAACAGACCAGGTGCCCATTCTGGGGGTCCTCCGGGACTCTCAACTCCTGCTCAAAGAGGCCCTAGGAGGGCCTTGCACAGCTTCATGTCGTGCGCCAGTTGTGCCCGTTCCTGGACTGGGAGGGAGGCTCTCCCCACAGTCACTCATGCCCTGGTCACCGCCCGGATAGACTATTGCAATGTGGTCTACATGGGGCTGCCCTTGAAGAGTACTTGGAAGCTTCAGCTGGTAGAAAATGTGGCAGCGCAGGCAGTTATGTGCGCCTCTAGAATGGCACACGTTACACCTCTGCTCCGTGAGCTGCATTGGCTGCCAGTTTGCTTCTGGGTCCAATTCAAGGTGCTGGTTTTGACCTTTAAAGCTCTTCATGGCATGGGGCCAGGTTACTTGAGGGACCACCTCTACCTGATTACATGTGCCTGTCTCATTAGGTCTGGCAGAAGAGGTATGGTCTGGGTCCCGTCTGTGAAGGAGTTACACCTGGCGGGACCTTGGAGACAGGCCTTTTCTGTCATGGCTCCCCCCCCCCAAGGTGAGACTGTCCCTGCCCTGACACCCTTCCAGAAGTCCCTTAACACATGGTTGTGTCATCAGGCTTGGGGATCTCAAGGAAGTGGTGAATTAGTGAGGTGGCTGTATTGCCTATCACGATACCTCTCTCTGCCACCCTGTCGTTGGTAACTTTGACTGGTGTTTTTAATTGTAGAATGCTTTTTAATTTGTTTTTATTATGTGTTTTTATGGTACGCTGTCACGTTCTGTGAGATGGGTGGCTATATAAATGTGACAAATAAATAAATAAATGTGTTTCAGCATAAACCTTTGTGGACTGCAGTCCATTGCATTGGATTATTTTACGTGACAGGTGTGTGCAGGTGAGAGAAAAAGAGAGACCCTCTCGTCTCCTTCTGCCACCAAATGTTGACCATCACCTGTTTGCAATTTCTGATGATACTCCCCGGTATTTATTGATTGTTCTATAGATGGGGAAGGAGATTTAAAAAAAAAAATCCCCACCTTAGATGTTGTGGACCGGAATTCTTTTCAGATGCAGCTCTACCCACCAACTGATTGCATTGCTTGGCTTCGGTGGGGAGCGTGCCTGTTGGATACTAACATGTGGATAAGTTTGCCTGTGAAGAAATGAGAGATTCCCCAAGCCTTTTAAAAGGAGGAAAACACATGCCAGAGCAAAAAACAAAGGGGTGTTTCTCTGCCTCTCTCTTTTCCTCCTCCTAAACCCCCCCCCCAAATGACTCCATGGTTTCTGGCAGCTCTTCACACAGTGACTTATTAAACCCTGATACAGTAATTGAGTAGAGATGAGTCATTTTTCCTCAGATACAGTTTTAACTTATGCTTGCAATATGTGTTTTGCAAAAGGAGGTGGGCTGCAGATCTTGTTTTCTCTTTTTCTCCCTCTTAGCGTGGTTATAGATTTTATGATTATTTTACATCAAGAGTCCCAGACAGGTCCCTGTCCCAAGGAGGTTCCAGTTTAACACCATCAGTTGGAGCAAGTCCCGAAAGGGGGTGGAGGTGGGAGAAGTGAGACCAACCATGAATAAAAAGGTGGGAAATGGAACAGCCTTACTTGAATGTGAGGGCAAAAGGGTATGTTAGGCTGTGTAATTGGAAGGGGTGGGAGGGAGAAGAAGAGCCGTACTTGATTATAACGATGTGCTGTCAGGAAATACGATTGCTCACTACATATTTCTTGACTAATCAGTCCCTTTTCATTATGTTAGAATTATAATTTAATGGGGCCTACGGCTGCTATTTTGTAAGAGTAGCCACCACAGGCACTCAAAATTTAAAACATTGCCCCAGCTCAAAAAGGTTGCTTGGTTCTGCTGTAAGCTGTTCCCAGATCAATCTTTGACAATCTCCAGAACTCCCCAGCCATAACTCTAATCCGGACCCTTTGTCAAAGGCTGACAAATGTCTCTTCCCTCCCCTCTATTCTCTTCCAACATTAACTGAAACTAAGATTGTAAGAGTTTTTGGGCAGAGACCTTGTGCTCTTGTCCTGCTTTTTAACATCTTGTTCATCAATTTAATGTTTTCTTAACTCCCTTTGGTCCTCCCCCATCACTAAATTGGCCTTTGGGTTTAATTTCAATTAAAGTCAGTTAACAGTAATTCCTAAATATCCAGCCAAGCTTTAATCTTTATAACAGAAAGCTGCTGTTTTGAAATCTGTTAACAATAAATAAAATGTTTCTGTTTGGTTTTCTTTCCAATGCCTTCCCTCTTGTCTCTTTCTTTCTTTTAATGGAGAGCCCTGAATGACATTGGAGATTATATCGGGTCAAACATAGAAATATCTTGGTTGCCCAACTTGGATGACTTGATGAAAGGATACGCCCGGAATTTTAGGCCAGGAGTTGGAGGTAAGGCTCTTCAGCACAGAGCAACTAAAGGATGTGTGACTTATATATATATAATGTTGGGTTGCACTTTTTAATTCCTTCCCATCACCTACTTTTGTCAGGGAAGAGTCATAAAAATGGTGTTGAGATAGAAATTTGACAAATAAAATTGATAAAAAACACATTAAAATAAGCACTTTGAGATGAGCCAGTGCTAATCTGATCTGGTTCGAGGCCTCAGTATAACTTTTTGTACTAATTCATGTAGACAGAGAAATAGACTGGCCTAGGATCAAAGTAAATTTCAGTGCCTCTGTTTTAACCTCTCTCTCTGCCTCTTTTCAATCCAGGGCCTCCTGTTAATGTCGCTTTGGCTATTGAAGTGGCTAGCATCGACCACATCTCAGAAGTCAACATGGTAAGTGAGCACTAGAGCTAAGACAGACATTGTGACCCCAAGCCTTTGTTCTACTGATGGGGCGAGTAGTAATTGTTTTTAGATTGCACAGAGTTGCCAACAAGAGTGACCAGCATTTTAATGTTTTTTAAAGCTTCCATCTCAGTATTTTAAGAGTCTGTCCTCTATGCAACCGATAATCTGGGAATACGTTCTACTGATTTTGACTAGATTTTGGGGTTTTATGAGACTTGCTTGCAATTAAGGGGAGACAGAGGCTCTGATCTGACCTCCCGAAAGGAATTACTCAACAGCCTTAGCATGCTACCAACCTTCCACTCTGCTTTGGCTGTGGGAAACTGCAGATATGGCTGCAGACCACTGAGAAGCACTAAATGCAGTCAAAATGGTGCTCCTGAGAAGCTGGGATCAGTGGGCCTGAAGAAAGCAAGGTTTGCTGGAACACTTCCTGCCGATAATGTGTTCCCAAGCAGTAAGATTTCAAAGCGGTTGGTATGGCTGGGTTTCAGTGCAGATAGCGAGGCCACTACTGACAGGGGCTCATACATTCAAAAGGTAAAGCAAAAATACATTCTTCACCGTGTTGTCATTTAACAATTAATATATTGATATCCTATTTGTTGACCTAAGAGCTCAATTATACCTCCCCCTTTATTTTCACAACAATTTTGGGAAGTAGCAAGAAAAAGTGGTTGAACAGCAACCATCATTCAGTGGAGATTTAAAACTGGAGCCAAGTTCACATGTTAAATTAAACCAAGGATGGCTGAATAATTTCCAGTAGCTAGGATAACACATTTAGCCAGAAACAAACTAACATGGTTTGGTATAACGTGTGATTGCAGAAGAGGTTGCTGTGACTGCAGTTTGCTTCTAACCGCCACACCAGCCTGATTCTAAATAAACTATCCCTGTGTGACTATGGACGGATAACATGCAAAATGTTGTTTAATATGCATACCTAGATCATGACTCTTAAGTTGTGACAAATAAACTGCAAATCTAATTTAAGAATAAGCTGTTAGGAATACGACAGAATGGAGAAGAAATGGAAAATGCTCCTGTTAGGTTCAGAGTTGTCACAGCTACCCTTTTGGTGTCAGAATTTTTTAAAAATCTGCTCTGCTAATTCTATTCCTGTCCTTAGGAATATACAATGACTGTCTTTCTGCATCAAAGCTGGCGGGATGACCGGCTGTCGTACAACCGGACCAATGAAACTCTGGGTTTGGATAGCCGTTTTGTGGACAAACTCTGGCTGCCAGATACATTTATAGTCAATGCTAAGTCAGCCTGGTTTCATGATGTGACAGTGGAGAATAAGCTCATCAGGTTGCAGCCGGATGGAGTCATTCTTTACAGTATCAGGTAAACGGCAATTTCGTGGCCAGAGGTGCATTCAGCTGCATTCACCAGGCAGTAAAACAGCAGGCACTTCCTCTATACCAGTGTTTCCCAACCTTGCCAATGTCTTCATTAATGGCCATGCTGGCTGTGGAATTCTAGGGTTTGAAGTCCACATCCCTAGAAATTGCCAAGGTTGGGAAAAATTGCCCTAAGTGGTGCAGGGTAAGCAGAAAGGTGCTTGAATGTAAGAGTTGTGTTTTTTTGCTCTCTTCATTTGGAGTAGGGTTACTTCTACAGTGGCCTGTGACATGGACCTGACCAAGTATCCAATGGATGAGCAGGAATGCATGCTGGACTTGGAGAGCTGTGAGTTTAACCCTGGGATGACTGTAAGGAGCAATCTCAAATAGGAAGTTTGGAGGAAAGAAGGGAGGGATATGACTTCATATGCTTTTGCCATGTTGTTGAATCAAGTTTATTAGGAAAACCTAGAAAGGGGAAAAGAAAACAGGGCCAGGTTGACACATTATGCTAAAATCTAATGGGGTTCGGTTGGGTTTGGATTAATGGTGGTTAATTTGGTGAATCTCACCTTGGTAGTTTCTCAATCATGGATTGGGGCTTTAATGTGCGGTACGGGTCCCAGGCCTTGTAGTTTTCCCAACAAATCAGAGTTAACCAAATCATGACTTCACATGATCTGTGAATCTCATCCACAGGATTTTTAAGGACTGATTTCTGGATCTGATTAGGAATAGGATGGAAGATCCCAGGTTTGTAGGCTAAGGAGGGAAATGGGAAGGGAAATCCTGGAAGAGGGCAGTGGCAGACAGCTTACAGACCAGGGCCAAAAGTGGAAGAGTCAGACTCAGCCTGAGTCTGGGAAGTGGAAGAACCATCAAAGTCATTAAGAGCCAACCATTTTTGGATAGCAGCCAAGAAAACAACATGGAGATGTCCAGGCAGTCACCAGGAGTTGGGCCTGACTTGAAGGAAACTGTGATGGAATGGTTTGATGAAGGCCGCGCTCAGGGAGATAAGTATTTCCTTAGCCCCCAGCAGGAGCGTGGGAAGGTTAAGAAGATTAGACTTGCACCACCATGAGGTAT